CAGCCCTACACCAAGACTCCATTTACAAGGTAGTTATGAATTATTCAGTCAATGTAATAAAGTCTCTCATTACTAATGAGTGATTATTATTTTAAAGTGCTAAATAGGTCAAAATCCTTTGGTAATGTAAGAATTAATCAGTGTATTAAAAAAAAACAAAATCAAAACATGATAATAAAAGTGCATTGGTGGAAGGATTCATTCATTTGGAAGTCCTGCTGATAAAATCACCGGAAGAGGAAGGCTGCTGGGTGTATGTTTGGATGCTTTCGGGGACAGGGAGTGAGTCCTCTTTATCCTCACCCATCTTCTGAGGTCAGCTTGGTTCCTGTGCAGATACTCAACTCCTGAACCCCAGGTCATTCATCTGATTCCAAATCCACTGACATGTCTATGGAACCCTATAGCTTTGTCCCCTCCAAAATGAAAATTCACAGTGATCTGTAATGAGGCATCTTTGGGAAACATTTGCTTAAAACATTGATTGTAAACAGAGATGGAAGAAAGCTATGCTGCGTGTGGTTAAGGGCGGTGAAGGTCCCTGCCCAAGGTGAACTTGCTGTAAATGGCAAAATGAGAACTCAAAGTTGGGATTGGGGTTTAGGTCTCAAATCCCAAACCATTTGCTCTGTTACCAAAGCTCCGTACTCCAGATTTGATACCCTTTGGACTGGGTCAAGGCTTGCCCATTTCACTGGACTTAATTTAGCTACAGAAGGAGAGAGCCCTACCTGTGACAACTGTACACCTGGTGGGGGCTGGGCCAGGATGCACACACTTGCGAGGTCACGTGCAGCGTGGTTACACTGCTTGGTTAATATCGAGGGGTCCCACTCCAGGCTGTGGGAAGGGGGTTGCTAGATCACTTTCTCTTCTTGTGGGGGTGGGGAAGTGCATGTTTTCTGAGCTAACACGGGTTACACAGGATTGGGAATAGAATGGGGGTGCCTAATGGGATTTCCGTGGTCCATCACTCATTTTCAAAACCAAGTGCTGCTGAGTAATTTATGGAGAAAGAAATCTTGTTTCGTTCCATTTTGTTTTGTTTTGTTTATAATAGTCTCTAGTTGTGTATTAGGGAGGCTTCAAAAAATGTCTGAACAGTGAGACTTTTTCACTGTATTTTTTAATTCCCTTCTAATCACCCCATCCCCAGATTTCTGTTTTGAGTTGACATTTTGGCATATATCCTGGTGATAATCATATTGAAGCCACCTTATTAATCTTTCTGCTTCTCTTGAAAGAGTCATGTGATACTCATGTCTGGCTTTAAAAGTTAAACTTATTAACAATCTCCAGGGATCCCTTGTCTTCTTCAGTGCATCTTGAGTCACTTAACCAATGAGGTGCAGGTGCAAGAAAACACACCGGAGGGTCAATATCCGCAGAGCATGGGGATACTCAGAGCTGAGCCCAAAGCTGCCTGGATCAAACAGACTGGAGACTCCTACCTATTAGATGTAATACCTCTGTGAATCCCCTTTCTGTATAGTCATGGCTCATAGGAACTCCCCAGGAATGAAGTGAATGCCTTCCATCCAAGCCAATGGACCCATTGTTGAAATACCTCATCTCCAAAGGCATTGTGTCCAGAGGTGGATGGGGCAGCCTAGAAGCATTTTAACACCTGGATTTATGAATCATTGCTTCTGCTGGCATGCCAGGTGACCTTGTACAGGTCACTGAATTATTTGAGCCTCTGTCTGACCCTGAAAGAACTCCAACAGATGTTAAATGAGAAAAACAAGGAACAGAGAATTGTCTAGGGGATATATCCCAACGTGTGTGTGAGTGTGTTTTCAAGATTGTTGTTGTTGTTGTTAAGTGCCGTCGAGTCGGTTCCGACCCATAGCGACCCTGTACAGGGTTTCCGAGGGTGTAAATCCTTACGGGAGTAGAAAGCCTCATCTTTCTCCCGCGGAGCGGCTGGTAGTTTCGAACCGCTGACCTTAAGGTTCGCAGCCCGATTCGTAACCACTACGCTACCAACATGCATAAGTATGAATATATGTATATGGAAAAATCCATAATAAATTAAACTAGGACTCTATCAGCCTCTGTACTGGGTACATGGGGACAGTTTCCCTCATCTGAGTGAGTGCTTTTGTCTTTGTTTTGTTTAAGGCTTAATAGAATGGTCTCTGTAGGGGGGAAAAATTAACTCCAGGGAATTCAGTATCATATTGTATTTGGTAATGTTATGACTGGGTGATTCAGCCGCTCCTCAGAAACCCTATACAGGGTTGCTATGGGTTGGAACCGACTTGATGACACTTAACAACAACATATTCTATTTTGACACTGGACTGTGACCCATAAGGTTGGCAGTTCAAATCCATCCATCAGCTGCTCCTCAGAAACCCAATTCAGGGTTGCTGTGAGTTAGGAGTGACTTAATAGTACTTAACAACAACAACAGCAATAATTCTATTTGGGTAACCATGTTGTAGCTCTGCAGAGTAAGCACTGGAATGCTAACTGCAAGGTCATGGTTCAAACCTACTGGCTGCTCCTTGCAAACCCTGTACAGGATCACTATGAGTCAGAATAGACTTGACAGCATTTGATAACAACAAGCAGCAAATATTCTATTTTGAAAATCAAAATACGAGTGTCTCCCTTACATGATTCTTGTTGAAGGGAAGCAGAGATAAAGTATACATAGGCGTAGATGTTTCAAGACAGCTCTTTCCTCCTTGCTCCACAGATCTGGGAATTATAGCATGTCCCTTGCTACACACAAGCTCTGCTGTCTTTCTCCATTCATAATGACATATCTGCATTCTACCCTAAGACAGTCAGACAGATGGGAAATAGGAGCACTCGGATTACTCTTCCTGCCTGGTGAATCCAGGCATTCTGGTAGACTCGGTTCTCTCATTGTGAAATGGATGGGTGCTTTGCCTGCAGCCCTTGGGAAATGTCTTTCTTACATTCAGATTGGATGGGGTCCAACAGTGTTCTAGTCCAAACCCAGGATTCAGAGCTACATAAGTGAGGCCCTGGGGTGTGAAGAGGACAGGGGGGGGGAAGAAAGATGCTGAGAGCTTCAGTGATAGACTCTCTGATGTGCCACCCAGTCTCCCGTCCCCAGGCCAGAAGCATCCATCCCCCAATAGCAGGCCAATGGGTGCAGACCACAGGGTGGCTATGAGTCGAAACTGACTCGACAGCACTTAACAACAACAAATGCACTCTGATTGAGTAATTACAGTGATGCATCGAATCACATGACTTCATCAACATGAGATGGAAGCATTTCGATGTTGTTTCACTGCTTTTGGTGTGTTTTTATAGTCACTGATTTCATCAGATGTCCTGGTGTTTTAGGCACAATAATACAGTTATTAATATTTTTTGACTCTCTATCAATACCCTTTTTGAGAATGAAATAATCATTAAAGTCAAAAGAAAAATCAAAAGACTTCTCTTCAGTTATGAATAATACAAGTAATAATGTAATTCCACATAGAAAGACTTTACAGAAGAATTTTGTGATATAAAGGAATTTGTTATTCATATAATCTGAGCAATATTACATCTAGGCAATTTCCAAGTATATTGATAACATAGTATTCTAGATTAAAATTGATAATGCATATTGCTAAGAGTTCTGTATGGTCTGCTACAGCAGGAGGTCCAGGGTGTGGGATGAGGTCACAAGCATTGGATGACACCCATCCTAGGGATGTCACTTGGACTGCCACAGACCCATCTTACCCCTAAGGGGTCATCTCAGCCAGGAGCCAGGGACCAGGCAGCAAGACAGGAGGCTGAACTACTCAGACCAACTCACAGAACCAGCAAGAGCGTGGGATCCTATTGACACCCCCTTGGGGTACCTTTCAGACAGGTCTGACGTCCATGACTATGAAGAGCCGGGATTTCCTCCCAGCACAGTCATATGAGCCATAAATGGAGCTGGAGGACCCTTTGACCAAGGGGATTACTAGCACACTACTCAAAACACCAAAAAGCCAAAACCAAACCAATTTCCCATTGAGTGAACTCATCCAAGTAGAGCTGTGCTCCATAGGCTTTTCAATGGCTGAGTTTTTGAGAAGCAGATCTCTACATGCTGCTTCTAAGATATCTCTGGGTAGATTCGAATCTTTCACTTAGTAACTGAGAGCTTAACTATTTGCGTCACGCACTAACTCAATACCCTCAATTCCACAATTTCCTTTTCCCACTCTCATAAGATTCATTTCTCTATTCTCAGAAAATAGTAATAACCCTCTTGACATTTACCGAGAATGTCCTTCTTTTACTGGTTTGCAAGCAAGTCAGACTGACCTGTCCCCTGATCTCCATGGCTCTGTGGACTGAGTCCACTTCCCTCTTTGGAAGCTACATTTGTGCCTTTGTGCTGGTTTAGCACCTTCTCATCTACACATACAATAACATGTACAGAACATTCCAGTCTACACAACACACATACTCAGAAGTTCCGTAGCTACATGGACTGACCCCACACAGTCTTCCTGTTTTGCAACAATCTAGGTTTCTTTTTCTCAGTACCACCTACATCTCACCTGCCTGCTTCAAGGGTCTTTCTGAATTCCTAGCTCTTTGTGAAAAAGGAGCTCCCCTCTGTCTGTCTTATGACCGCTTCTCCTTAGAATGCATCCGGCAGGAGAAAGAGGGTAGAGGGTGGGTATCATCAAGTTATCACTATGCTGGGAGACCGATACCATCATCATTATCTTTGATACCATCTTCATTATCCTTATCATCCTCTATCCTCATCTTTATAATTGCCAGATTACCATTTTCATTTAAACATGACAAGACAAAGGTAGGCAGATTGCAGGTTGGTCCCAGGCAGAGGGATGGAGGAAGCGCCCCCTGCACATGTTAGCCACGTTGCTGTGTTTCTAAGGAGCAGGACTGCATCTCTGAGCCACAGAGCACTGTGATGTTGGTGCAGGTGGTGGAGAAGGGTCCTGGCCAACCTGGGAAAGTGTCGTGTTCTCAGGTGTGCTGTGTCCCATTCACAGGGAAGCTTCTACGTGCCCTCAGACAACTGCATACAGCATGCCTACAAGTGGCACCAGGATCTGTGCCACTTGCTGCTGCGTGCCTTCCGAGGACTCCGTGCCTACTTTCTGCTCATCCTGAGGGACATCCCGGAGCTGCCGCGCCTGGAGCTGGGTAAGGGTGAGGCGACTAAAAATCAAACCAACAAGTTCTTGAGTCAGCACTGACTCTTGGTGACCCGTGGGACAGGGTGGACCCACTCCTCAAGGTTTCCCAGGCTGCCCTCTTTATACAGGCTGACTGTCTCACTTCTCCCACAGAGCGGCTGGTGGATTCGAACTACTGACCTTTCAGATAGCAGATGAGCTCCTTACCATTGTACAGCCCAAACCAAAACCAGACTTGTTTCCATGGAGCCGATTCAAACTAACTGCAACCTTACAGGACACAGTTTAGCGTTTCTAAGGCTGTAACCTTGGAGGAGTCCTGGGTTGATACTGTATAACAAACCTGAGACCACAAGGTCACTTTGAACTGTAAATTAGGCTGCTCCTTGGAAACCCTATAAAGGGTCACTATGAATCAGAACCGACTCAATGGCCCTTAATGACTTGGCAAGAACACCCTTGCTGGAAGTAGGCTGCCGTCTTGCCTCACTACAGCATCTGATGTCGACCTTTTGCTTCTTAACTCAGGCCTGTACCCACTGTGCCACCACGGACTCAAACACTCCGTCATGGTGTCGGAGCTGACTCATAGCAACCCTACATAGGGTTTCTGAGGCTGTGTATCTGGGGACACAGACAATGTCACTTTTCTCCCTCGCCGTGGTTAGTGGATTCAAACTGCTGACTTCATGGCTAGCAGTCCAACATATAACATACTACACCAGCGAGACGCCAGGAAAAAAAAAAGGCACGGGCTCCTCAAGGTGCATTCTTTCATTCCTCCTTCACTCACTCATTGGCTGCGCTGGAATGCCCACCGTGTGCCTGGTCTCAGGGATATGGTCTGTGTTGTTGTTGAACGTAACTCATGGAGCCCTTACATACAATAGAACCAAACGTTCCATTCCTTGGTCCTATGTCAGTGTAATTCATATCCTTTCCATTTTAGGTCAGAATGATGAGATGCCAACTTGTTGTTGTTGTTAAGTGCTGTCGAATTGGTTCCGACACATAGCAACCCTGTATAGGGTTTCCGAGGAGCCGCTGGTGAGCTTGAACTGCTGACCTTGCTGTTCTAATTGCTTTGCAGTCTGGTGCATTGACCCACAGTGCTATACCAGGACTCTGATTCCAACTTAGGAGAGCTTAAAACCATTTTAAGAAAGGAGGAAAGGAACAGAGAGAAAGAGAACACACATTCACATAGATACACACATAATCTTATTGACAGAAGGGACTCTTGTAGCACAGTGATTAAAGCACTGGATTGTTGACTGAAAGGTCAGCAGTTCAAAGCCACCAGCTGTACCACAGGAGAAAGCTGTGACAATCTGCATCTTAAAGGTTAAGGTCTCAGAATCCCTATGGGGCGGTTTCACTCTGTCCTCTACAGTTACTATGGCTTGGGGTCCACTTGATGCCAATAGATTTAATGATGAGTAAAACCTCTTATGTGCCCGTGGTGTCTGGTCTGCTGGAGATAAACTCCTTGCACAGGAATTTTCCAGAAGTGAAACATCTTTGGTCCCGAATCCCTCGTACTTGACAGGGGACCAAACTGAAGTTCAGCGAGGTGAAGGGACTTGCTCAGGGTCACATAGCAGCTGCATCAGGGACCCTGATTCCTGGACAGATCCTGATGTCACATCACACACAGAGACCACAGACAATGCATTACAGTCTGCTAAGGAGGTCCCTACTGTAAACTCTTGCCACAGAAGGCACCACAGAACTGCTACACTGACCTGTGTGGTTGTAAAATCACATGTGCTGGAGGTACTGACTCCCACTAATATGATCGACAGTGTGGCCCACCACTGGTGGTGTAACGGTAGTCAGGGTTGCTGGGGGCAGGCTGGGGGCAGCCACTCTCTTCCATGGCCTTTCCAACTTTCGTGTCTGAGATGGGACACAAGCCTGTGGTCATCACAGACCTGTGCCTCTGAGTGTGCGTGTATATATGTATATAAATATAGTTGTTAAGCAGTGACACATAGCGACCCTCTATAAGTTTATCTTACAGCACCACACCAGGACTCCATATATACATATATACTGTATTTTATGCTAATATGTAATAAGCTGGAGTCCTGGTGTGGTGCTATGGGTTAATGCGCTGCAGTGCAAAGTCAGTTTGAAGTGTTAAGGCCTGCAATTGAAGTTTACCAGTTGCTCCTTATAAACTCTATACAGGGTCGCTATGGGTCAGAACCGACTTAATGGCATTTAGCAACAATGTAAGATGCTTTACAGGGTCGCTATGAGTGGGAACCAACTCGATGGCATTTAACACCAGCTACAACCTTTGTTCACCAACTGCAGCGTCTCACTGGAGATGTTCTCGCTAAGTGCACTATGCCAATTTTTTTTCACATGTTGCTGTACAATTTTTAGCTCTGCACCCTGACTAAAATGCCAGGGAGGGTGTGGGTGGGGTGAAGGGTAAGATTGGCAAACAAATGTGGAATGTGCACATTGTTTATGTAAAAATACAGTTTGTGTGCCCATATTCACAGAAACCTCAAAGCATGTAGAACCCCTCTGTGTGGGCAAGGAGAACTGCTGTTTCTCAGAAATGCATCCAAAGACAACCTTTACCTGTATCTAATGCAAAGCCACAAAGGTCTAAATCAGGATTTAAAAAATGATGATCGGGCTGATCTCAACTTGCATCTACCCCACGTAGGTCAGCAGATCGTAGCTCCATGGATTTTCCATGGTTGATTTTCAGAAGTAGATCACCAGGCCTTTCTTCCAAGGTACATTGAGTCCTTTGGTTAATAGCAGGGTGGACTGACTGTTTGTACCACCCTAGGACTCCAAGTCAAAATCAGACAGTCTGCAGACATGGCCCATGTGGACAGCAAGAACAGAATAGTTATCGATGAGAGGGCTCAACTGTCTCTGTCACTGTAATGCCTCTGGAAACCTGGCTTTTTCATTCCAGCAGCGACTGCTCTGCTTCTGTGGTCTGTTTAATTCTCTGATTGTTTTTCTTCCAGAGACCCTCGCTGTTGATGAGACGCTCTCTCAGCTGTGCTCGGAGCTACAGGTAATTAGAGAATTTGACCCCTCCGTCGGAGTGATAATAGCTGTTCAGGAGAATCCAAATTGCTTCTTGGTATGGAAGGCAGAGATGGAAAGACAGGGTTTGGACATCAAACCGAAAAGTACTCTGTACCCTGTTACCCAGATTCATTGGGTCACAATTAGACACGTTTTGTGTGCCCAGCTCAATACTAGATACTACAGAAACACTCACCAGGGTAGCAGACCCCTGACCACCTGGAGCTCAGAGCACACTGATTACGTCGGCCATTACCTGTCCACTATGAGCTTCTTACAGAGCCCCTGCTCAGATGGCCTCATGTCGTAACTCTAAGTGAGGATGATGATGAAAGCAACAAAGTGCATTTGTCAAAAATCCATCCAGCACATCCAGAGTGAGCTTTGAAAGTTATAGAAAAATGGAATGAAAAGATAATGGATTTTGTCCACAAACTTTTTGAAATCCCCTCATATTAAGCATCTGTGTGTAATACATGTTTGGCATATGTATGCTATTGTTAGTTACAATCTGCGGAACATTTTCATGGGCCCTGGTAGCACAGTGGATTAAGCATTCTGCTGCTAACCACAAGGTCAGCAGTTCAAGCCCACCATCTGCTCCACAGGACAAAGATGAGGCAGTCTGCTTCCAAAATATCGTGGTCTGAGAAACCCTATAGGACTGTGAGCCTGGGATATTTTCACACCTCAATAGAGTTGTAGGTTTTGTGTGAGGGTTGTTAGCCATATGTTGTATCGTGTGTTGTGGAGTTGATTCTAGCTCACAACAACCCTGTGTGACAGTAGAGATTCCTCAGGCAGTGTCCGAGTCTCCATCCACTGCTAACTCAAAGGTGGGTGGTTCAAACCCACCAGGTGCTTTGTAGGAGAAAGATGAATCCGTTCATTTTCATAAAGCTGGCAGTCTTGGGGACCCAATGAGGAATTACTACTCTGAACGGCAATTTCGCTGAGGTGGGATCAAGATGAAGCTGTGTGTTTAGTTGGGTTTGGTTTGGGGGGCTGGCATGAAGGGTGTGGCTATGGCTATGTGCCATGGAGTCAGTTCTGACTCATAGCGACCCTGTACGGGAGCAGAAAACCTCATCTTTCTCCTGCGAAACAGCTGGTGATTTCGAACTGCTGACCTTGCAGTTCGCAGTCCGATTTGTAACCACTACGCTACCAGAGCCTGAAGGGTAAGTATGTTCATGTCTATTTTGCACTTACCTAAAACACACCCTACCTGTCGGTGGCCATTACTGTTCAATGTTCTCCTAGGCTTTCAGGGAAGTCACTAGGGGGAGTGGCCTGAGTGGGCACTGTGGAGAGATACAGCAGGATGTGGGCATGGGCAGTTTGCAGCCCTGTCTGGGAAATGTGCCAGTGGACTCTCGGAGGCAATGGGCCAGGCCTACCAGCGCGGCCCCTATGAAGCCAGGGTCATAGTTAGAGAGCCAGGCTGATTCAGAGAAAGAACAGTAGTCTTGGTAATATCTGCTTACCTTAATGATGGAAGCAGGCCGGCATCACCTCCTACAGGCAGCCCTCCATGACCCTTCCACATCCCTAGGTACACATCCCATTGACTGTACTTGGTAGGAGTATTGTTACCATCTAAAGAAATAGTAACAACTTAGACCACAGTGTCTTTTGGAACTGGATGTTCCATGTCTTTGTCTCTGCAAAACTGGACGCTGCCAGCTCATGGGCACTCATGAACCCCCAGGGCAAGAGGGAAAGGCAGTGGACAGGGGCCAGTGGAGCGAGGCTGGAGCACAGCAGAGCAGCTGAGCATTTAACCTGAGACAGGTAAGGCCAAACTGGCAACCCCGTCAACGTGGAGGGTCTCTCCTCGTTCTTGCTGGAAAAGCCCCTCCAAGCCTTTCCTTAGAATTCAAGAGGCCTGGGAACCTGGCAAAACAGAGCACCCTTCTGTGGCTGACTTAAAAGACGTTTCTGCACATGTTTGGAGTCCTGTCTACCATCAACCGTGGGAGAAATCGATTCTTCCAATGATGTTTCATCACTAGCTTTTCTTTTGCTCTTTTAATTAGTGGCTGAGCCCAGAGTATACACTGAACTTGCTGTGCACCACTGGTCAGGGGACAGAGTGAGACACCCTGGAAGGGGAATCTGAGTTCTTGAGGCATTGGGCACCTCTCATGAAAGCAAAGACACTGATTTGTTAAGTGCAAAGCTCTGGACTTCCCCAGGGAGCACTGAGTTCAGGAGGCACTCTGCTAGTTGCTGGGAATGCTGAGACAAAGGCTTGAAATGCAGCCAGCAGAGGGAAGTACTAGAGCCCTGTCACGTGGGAATCTGTCTGATTCTCCAATAACAAGGGAAGCGCAGACCAATTGTACTTACTTACTCATCTGAAATAAATGGTTTCATATGTTTGCAGCACAACCAAGAGTCCGCTGCTTGGTCCGGCTGGCATCTGTTTCTCTTCCAACCCCACAGTCCCTTCTGGTGGAATCAGAGCCCACGACTGGGATGGAAGACCCAGTCTACACACGAAGGAAGTTGATGCTTATTCATTCATCTGTAGTGAACAATTTCATGTGGTTGTATTTCACCGAAACCCATGTAAAATTGCTCCCTAAGGAGCTCGGGTAGTGTAGTGGGTTATGAGTTGGGGTGCCAACTGCAAAGTCTGAAGTTCAAAACTGCTAGCCCCTCCCTGGGAGAAAGATGAAGCTTTCTTCCCCCATAAAGATTGGTAGCCTTGGAAACCCTATTCAAGGTCCCTGTGAGTCAGAATCAGCTCCAGAGCACATAACCACGACCACAAGTTAGTAGGGCCCTGGTGTGGTACTGTAGGATAAGCTCTGGACTGCTAAGCGCAAGGTCAGTGGCTCAAATCCACCAGCTCCTCCTTGGAAACCCTATACAGGGTCATTATGAGTAGGAACTGACATAGCAGCACTTAGCAGAAACAATGGGTAAGTTGTCGAGGGGTGAGGAGTGCGTATGGACAAGGCCAGTGAAATACCGTGTGGTGAGCTGGCATCTAGCCACCACTGACCCATGATGACCCATGTCCAGCAGAACAAAATGTGGCCCAGTCCTTGGCCACCTGTAGGATCACTGGTCAGTTCGAGTCCAGTGTCGTGGCCCCTGTGTTTGGTGAGTGCCTGCTGACCAAGGGCTTTACCTTCTAGCATTGTATCGGACAGTGTTGTGTTGTATTGTGATGCAGTCAGTTTTCAGGAGCTGATTTTAAGAAGTAGCTCCCCAGGCCTTCCATCATAGTCTGTCTTAATCTGGAAGGTCCACTGAAACCCGTCCACCAGTGAAATACCAGTGGCAAAGCTTCCAGCACCACAGCACCACACATGCACCAGAGAACACCAAACTAACAGACTCGCCAAATGGTCGACATTAATTAATGGAAGCTATACAGTCTCTGCAAGGAGCTCTGGTAGCATAGTGGTTACGAATTGGGCTGCGAACCTCAAGGTCAGCAGTTCGAAACTACCAGCTGTTCTGTGGTAGAAAGATGAGACTTTCTGCTTCTGTAAAGATTTACAGCCTCAGAAACCCTATACAGGGTCGCTATGAGTTGGAACCGACTTCATAGCACATAACTACCACCATACAGCCTTTGATAACCTCAAGGTCGGCAGTTCGAAACTACCAGCTGTTCCGCTGGAGAAAGATGAGGCTTTCTGCTCCTGTACAGATTTGCAGCCTCGGAAACCCTGTGCAGGGTCACTATGAGTTGGAACTGACTCCATGGTACTTGACAACTACAGCATACATCCTCTCGGATTCGTGGTGTGGCTCTGTGGGTTAATGTGCCAGACTACAAAGCCTTTTGAACTGCAAGGTCAGTGGTTCAAGCTCACCAGCTGCTCCCCAGAGGAAACCCTATACAGGGCTGCTATGGTTTTGGAACCGAATAGATGACACTTAACAACAACATACAGCTTCTCCTGGTGTGGCACCATACGATAAGCACTGAACTGCTAACTGCAAGGTCAGCAGTTCAAACACATCAGCTGCTCCTTGGAAACCCTATACGTGATCACTGTGAGTTGTAACCAGCTCATCAGTATATAGCACCAGCCTCTCAGAAAGCTGGTACAAGGTTCTTCTGAGTTGGAGTAGACTTGATGACCGTGGGTTTGGTTTTTACGGTTTGATGATGGTCATGAGGCACTAAGTTCAGACGTTGATGGGATAGAATGTGGGCCCAGCCTCAGGGCCTGTTGTCATCTTTCTAGCGCATCGTTAGTGGAGGATGTGAGTGGTTGAATTCCAGTGGGAAGTTCCCAGGAAGTAAGTGTCCTTGGAGCCGGCAGTTGTGCAGTTGACACTGGTGGTGTGTAATTGTCATTGTTGTTGTTTTTAACTGTCATTGAGTCGGTTCTGACTCATAGCAACCCTGTATAGAGTTTATGAGGAGCAGCTGGTGAGCTTGAACTGCCAACTTTGCTGTTCATACCGACTCTGCAGTCCAGTGCATTAACCTGCAGCACCACACCAGGCCTCCTTAGTCTCATTGTTGTTAAGTGCCGTCGAGTCAATTCCGACCCATAGTGGCCCTGTATAGGGTTTCCGAGGAGCACCTGGTGAGCTTGAACTGCCAACCTTGCAGTTCAAACAGCTTTGCTGTCTGGTGTATTAACCCACAGTGCCACACCAGGACTCCTTATTAGGAATCCTTATTAAGACTCCATATTAGTCTTATTGTTATTTTGTTGTTAAATGTCATAGAGTCCATAGTGACCCTGTATAGGGTTTCCAAGGAGCAGCTGGTGAGCTTGAACTGCCAGTCTTACAGTTCAAATGGCTTTGCAGCCTGGTGCATTAATCCACAGCGCCACATCAGGTCACCTTTACAAAGAACAAAACAAAAATCATTCACTCAGAACAATGGTTTGCCAGGGCATCTGGTGGGCCAGTTCAATTAAAGACAGAGGTCAGCTCAGAAAGTTATAGTGACTGTTTTGGGGAATAACAAAGGAGTAATCTTGATAGATTTTTTTAAAGGATGTTGGACAATCATGGTGACTTGTTAGTGAGAAATTTTAAATGATTGAAAATTGCCTTGGTGAGGAAAAAGGCCAGAAAAGACGCACTGAGGGATTTTTTTGTTCCATCCCAACAACGCACCCACTCATTCTTGCTTCCAGAGTAGCAAAGGCTGTCCTGTGAGGATTTCACTTAGAAACCTGACCGCATGCATCCTATAGTCCTGAGCTTGCCCCTTCAGACTTCCTTTTGTCTTCTAAACTTAAAGAACATTGAAATGGAACACAATTTGAGTCTCTGGAGGATGCCAGAAAGCTAAGAATTCTTGGTGGAAGGGATTGAGAGACAGAACACTAACTTCAGATGTGTATGGACCTTGATGGAGAACTCTATTAAAAAACCATAGCTTCATGTGTTGATGTGTTTGCTTAATACAGGTGTTTTTGGGGTACTTTTTGATTTGCTTTTGTATCATGCCACAGGTATACAGAGAAAGGAGAGAGGTTAACACAACACAGAGGTCAGCAAAAGTGTTCCGAAGAAGGCTGTAGTGGGTTAATGGACTCCGGGCACTGACCGCCCCTTCTGCCTCTCCAGATGCTGACCAATCCAGAGAAAATAGCCGAGCAGATAAGCAAGGACCTCGCCTGGCTTGCTTCTCACCTGATGGCCCTGTGGACCCAGTTCCTGGACACTGTGACCCTGCACTCCCAAGTGACCACTTATCTCACCCGGGAACATCATGCCTTGAGGGTGAGGTGCCACTGGCTCTCCACTTGCCCGGGAGCTCCTGAGTGGGAGGTCAGACAGGGGAGAGTGTATGGAGTTGGGTAAGAATTGGGACTGGCCTCTAGGTCTCGGTACCTGGACCCCGGGGCCATGGTAAACTTGCCAGGTGGCTTTTGTTAACTTGATTTGCCTTCTGAGCCTAGGACCACATTCATAAGATAATTTTCCCTAATAATACAGTCTAGCACAAAGCATCATCAGTAGTCCTTCGACAATTGTTACTTTAATTGACATCAGATATAAGGCATGGTTCTTAGTATATGTGAGGTTCTTCAGTGCATGTGAGAAGATCATTAACTTACATCAGAAGTATTAATGCATAATAAAAGATGCCCCTCTTCTCATATAGAGCAAGAGCAGTGAAGACCTGAGGGTCAGAGGTTTGGAGGGTCAGTTTCAGCTGCATCTGTGTACAATGGGGCTTCAAAGAGTTCCTGGAAAAATTCAATTATCATTTAATTCTATTTTTCCAGGAACTTTCTGAAGGCCCCTCTTATGGTCCCTGTGTGCAAGGCGTGTCCCTGGGTGGCACAAGTGGCTCACACACTTGGCTGCTCACCCAACTATTGGCAGTTCGAGTTTACCTAGAGGTGAATCAGAACAAAGGCCTAGCAGGAAACTTCTGGCCTGTCAGACACGGAGAGTCCACTCTGATGATTCTGCTGTGGCCACAAGTCAGAGTAGACTTGACAGCAGCAATTGTGTGTGTCTGTGTGTGCTTGTTCATGGGTTTGTGTGTGTACATCCCTGCATATGTGTCTTTGTGTATGCCTGTGCATTCAGGTGTGTATCTTTTATATACCTGTGTGCATGTGTGTGCATGCTTATCTGTGTGCTGATGCATGTGTACCTATGTGTGTGCGTCTGTAAATTGTGTGTATGTTCATGTGTGCATGAGTATGCCTGTGTGTCACTATGTGTATATGCTTGTGTACTTGCATGTACCCGTGTTCATGTGTGTGTACATGTATATACCTTTGTGTGTCTGTGTGTGCATGTTTGTGTGTTCGTGTTTGCATGTGTGTGTATGCAGTGAGTGGAATCCAAATGCACTAAACATGAGAATCGGGAGCAGTGCAAGAAGGGCTTTGTCAGCCTCCAATAAACTGTTCCCATGACCAGGTGTGGGCTCAGAGTATCGCTGCAAAGGATCTGCTGGGGAGTTAGAAGGATCCTGGGACAGAAAGTCTGCTCAGGGCACAGCACTGCGCAGCTTAGACCTGACCTCCTAGAGTCTCGATTTTCTTTCTGAAAACAGCTGTAGTGCCCACTTACACTGCCCGAACTGTTGCTCCCCCAGGTCCGCAGGTTTTCCGAGGCCTTCTTCTACATGGAGCACCAAAAACTTGCAGTCCTGACCTTCCAGGAAAATCTGTAAGTATTGCTGTATTCCCACTTCATTCCTGAAAGTAGCTGCCCAAAGCATTCGTTGTCAGCTAACTTTTGAAGGAGTATTTTTATTGTGTAAATACACGAACACGTGGGCACACACACAAACACAGAGGGTGCTTCAAAAAGTTCATGGAAAAATGATCATGAATTTTTTTTTATGAACTTTTGAAGTCAACTGGTTTATATTTTGTTGTTGTTGTTGTTAGTGCCATGAGTCCAAACCCGTATAGGGTTTCTGAAGAGTGGTTGATGGTATTGAATTGCCAATCTTGTGGTTAGCAGCTGGTATATATAGTTATGGTATCTATACATATATACCTAAGGGCTTAAAAGCTTCTGGAAAAATTCCATTTCTTTTCCATTTTTCCATCTGGTATATATGTATACATTGTTGTTATGTGTCATTGAGTCAGTTCTATAGCAAACCTGTATAGGGTTTCTGGGAAGTGACTTGTAAGCTTGAACCACCAACCATGCAGTTCAAACCAACTTTGCAGTCCAGTGCATTAACCCACAGTGCCACACTAGGACTCCTACTAAGCTTGGGCTTCTGGTTTCTTAAACTGTTGGCATAGTTTTCTGATTGTTAAAGTCAGAGAGAAGAAAACAAAACAAAACAAAACAATAAACTGTTGAATTGGAAAATGCTATGCTACATGTTCAATTCAACAGTTTTCTTTTTGGTTTGAACAAACAGAAATGTGTTTTTGCACAGGGGTTGGCTCTAGGGAAGGTTTTCTCTTTGTGTCAGTTCTGGGCAAAGGCCCCTGTCTCTTTAGCTTCTGTTTCTTGCTCCCTTGGAGATCTCAGGTTCTGTGGCACCAGTTTCTCCCATCTCTGCTTCCCCATCAGCGTGTCCCATGTGTACAATTCAGCGATATTCATGACGCCAGTCGTACACTATCACCGGTCACCCATCATGGTTGCTAAATTGCCCATCACCGTAAACAGAAACATGCCATGGCAAATAGTGACTCCCCATCTCCCCCTTCCTCCTGCTCCTAAACACAAAAAACAAACCTACTGCCATTGTCTTAGGCCAGGATTTCTAGAGCAGCAAAATCAGTGAAGTATAAAGAGAAGTTTATCACCAAGGAAGTGGATTCTAATTGCAGAGTCCCAGATCCTCAGGGGAAGAGAGAGAGAGCCTGCTCTGTGTGTCCATTACATTGGGAGCAGGTCACACCCCCCACCTCCCACATCCCCTTAACTGATTATCTCTTCATAACCACTATCATAAAGTAGGTAACACAGGCATAAGTAATGCCTGCGTTAGGTTTCATCACCATGGGAACAAGCACATTCCCAACTGCTAAACCTCTGGAAACCCTAGTGTAGTCAAGTTGATGGAGAATTTTAACCATTACAACCAGCAAGTCAATTCCCACTCATGGTGACTCTGTATAGCATTTACAGGAGAAAACAGCCTCATGGTTCTCCCACAGAAAAGCTGGTGGGTTTGAAGCACCAGCATGCTATTGCCAGCCCAACCCATAGCACCACTGTGCTTCCTTTCCTACCCCTGGTAACCAGTAATAGAACTTTGGTCTCTGTATATCTACCTGTTCTAGAAATGCCAAAGTTGTTCTCCTTTTCCTCTGACTGAGGAGGAGCTGAGTCCACTTGCACCTACACATTCATTCTTTGTTTCTTCTGCAGACGTTAGAGTCTGCCACACTGCAGAGTCGGGGGCTCGCAGAGGCCAAGAAGGTCAATCACTGCTGCTTTCTTGTGTTGAGTGTAATTGTGGCTCAGTGTGCCTGAACCTAGGCGTCCTAGGTCCCTGAAGACATCTGTGCTGAGTCCTCATTGCAAAATGAATCAGATTTAGGTGGCAGGGCCAGAAAGTATGTCAGAAACAGCAGAAGTCACCTGGGACTCTATAGCAGCTAAGCAAAGCGTTTAGCATAAGAATGACTCCTGAAATACCTAATTAGGAGGATTGATTAATTTCTAAGTTTGCCCTTCTTCCAGCTAAAATTAAAAGCACTCAAGAAAGTTAGTCCAAGGGCTGAGGAGAGATGAGATCATCCTCGCTTGTAGATGTTCCTGGTGAGCTGGAGCAGAGTGAACTCTCAGAAACGGTGGCCTTTGCTGTAAACGAGGTCCACATTGTCTTTGTTCCTGGGTGGTAGGTCACCACACAAAGATGTCGACGAGTCAGCTATGGGGAGCCACTGTAAATCTAGTAGGAGAAACACTTGAAATTTGTCCACCTTTCAAAACTCACCGGGACAGCCTTCCATCCTCATCTGTGAAACGTTTTCTCCATACTCTTCTTTTGATTGTTAAATACAGTGACATTAAAGATTTCCATCATGGATTCTGGCCACAAGGGGTGCCGGGGAGAGGAAACATTTGCATGCTGGGACTGAGTACCCAGTAAATGAGGTACACATGTTCTATAGTATGCTGACTTCCTAAACTGTAGGGAACAATTGTGCCTTGACATCACAATGTCAAAGTGAGTGGTGGGACCCAGGTGAAACTGTTCAGTACTCATTGGTAAGTGAGCACAATTAAGCATGTGTGTACTTTGCTTACTGTAAGGTAGTGCCTACCATGTTTCCTGGTTAACCCATTCATTCCAACTCAAACCCCTACTGAGAATTGACCTATCCAGCCCAGATGCACTGAATGCGACTCTAAATTTTCACAAGATTTCTAGAATTTTAAGTGGTAGCATAGTGGTTACGAATCCGGCTGTGAACCTTAAGGTCAGTGATTCGAAACTACCAGCCACTCCGCGGGAGAAAGATGAGGCTTTCTACTCCCCTAAAGAAACCCTGTACAGGGTCGCTATGGTCGGAACCGACTCGATGGCACTTAACAACAACAACAAGAGTCATCTAGGGATCTTGATAAGGGACCCTGGTGGCACTGCAGGATAAGCACTGGACATCTAAACCACAAGGTCGGTAGTTCAAACCCACCATCAACTCTGTGGGATACAGATGAGGTTTTCTACTCCCCTCAAAGATGGTGTGGTGCTGTGGGTTAATGCTCTGGACTGCAGAGTCAGTTTGAGCTGCAAGGTCGGCAGTTCAAGCTCACCAGTCTCTCCTCAGAAACCCTATACAGTGTCGCTATGGGTTGGAACCAACTCGACGGCACTTAAGAACAACAACAACAACAATTTACAGTGTTGGAAATCCTATACAGGACTGCTATTAGTCAGAATTGACCAGATGGCAGATGGCAGTGGGTTTGATTTGGTTTGGGGGCAATCTTGTAAAATTGTGAATTCGGACTCAGTAACTCTGGGGTGCAAAAGCAAATTCCAAGCAGGGGGGTTGAACCAGAATGGAAGTGTTGTCTAGAAATACCCTGAGTCTTTCACTGACTCACTGACTTGTATATGAATTCATTTCCTCCAGTCCCCAGATACAATTGGCTTCAGATATTCCCAAACTAAAATCAGAACAGCTAATGTGGCAAATCTAAATAGGATGCTGTGTGCCATTGGGCAAAGGGTTGTAAATCAGGGCTGCTGCCTGACATCTCCTTCCCAAGGTCACTGCAGAAGTAGGTACCGAGGTACCATTTAGGCAGCCCAGCCATGACCATGTTATGCAGGCACGGGAGCATACCAGAGAGTGGTAAGCACAGAGTGAAATGTTGTTGCTGTTGTTAAGTGCCATCACCGCGCACTCATGGCAGTCCTATGCACACGAGAAGGAAACTTTGCGCAGTCTTACCCCGTCTCTACCATTGTTTTGTTTGATCCCATTTCTGCTGCCACTGTGTCAATACATCTCATTGGGGGTCTTCCTCTTTTTTCACTGACACTCTGTTTTACCAAGCATAATATCTTTCTCGCAGGACTAGTTCCTCCTGACGATGTGTCCAAATGTGAGACCAAGTCTCACCATCCTCACTTCCTAGGAGCACTCTGGCAGCACTTCCTTGACAGATGTATTTGTTATTCTGACAGCCCATGGTACTTTCAAGATTCTTTGCCAGTACCTTAATTCAAATACATCAGTTCTCAAGAAATCAAAGGATATATTGCATCACGCAGATCTGCTGCACAGACTTCTTCAAAGCATTCGAGAGCAAAGATGTCAGTTTGAGGACTAAATAGTGCATGATCTAAGTCATGGCGCTTTCAGGAGCTTCAGAGGTATGTGGAAGTTGGACACTGAATAAGGAAGACCATAGAAGAATTGATGCTTTTGAGTCACAGTGTTGGAGAAGAATATTAAAACTACCATGGACTGCTAGAAGAACAAACAAATTGGTGTTGTAAGCAGTACAGCCAGAGTGCTCCCTAGAAACCAAGATAGTGAGACATCATCTTTCAGACTTTAAGCATATTATCAGGAGGGTCCATTCCCTGGAGAAGGACATCATGCTAGATAAAGAGGAGGGTCAGCAAAAAAGAGGAAGACCCCCAATGAGATGGATTAGCACAATGGCAGTAACAATGGATTTAAGCTTAACAACAATTGTGAGGATGGCACAGAACTGGGCACTATCTCGTTCTTTTGTACACGAGGTCAAGGTCACTCTGAGTCAGAATTGATTCAATGACACCTAACAACAACACAGTTCTTCTCCAGTCTTTCTTATTCATGTTCAGCTTTTGCATGTACATGAGGTGATTGAAAATATCATAACTTTTGTCAGGTGCACCTTAGTCCTCAAACTGACATCTTTTACTCTTCAACACTTTAAAGAGGTCTTCTGTAGCAGATTTGCTTAATGCAGTAAGTTCTTTGATTTCTTGTCTACCGCTTCCACGAACATTGATTGTGAACCCAAGCACAATGAAATTCTTGAAATGAAATCCTGAAAAGGAGTCTTGTTGGCACAGAAGTTAAGTGCTAGGCTGCTAACCAAAAAGCTTGGAGTTTGAACCCACTCAGAAAATCCCCGAGGAAAAGATCCTGAAATCTCCTCCTCTTAAGATTGGTTTGAGTAGCAGTTGTGTGCTCCCACATCAGTTCTGACTCAGAGCAACTCTGCACAGGGTTTCTGAGGCTGTAAATCTTTATGGGAGCAGAAAGCCTTTCTCCTGTGGTGTCACTGGTAGATTTGAACTTCTGATCACAAGCTCATAATCCATTATGCTACCAGGGCTCCTCCCTATAAAGCTTACAGGCTAATAAGCCCTACAGGGCAGTTCTACGCTATCATATAGGATTGCTATGAGTCAAGATCGGCTTCACCACACCTAACAACAACGATGTCCTGGAAGAAGTATGGTAGGATGCCAGTCACTTGCACAGAATGTCCAGACATCCTGGGATTAAAACTCTGGCCCTTCAATTTCTTATAATGTCTTTGAAAACGTTTTTTTTTTTTTTAATTGGACCTACTCTTAGTTTAAGGGACCCTGGTGGTGTAGTGGATTACAAGTTGGTCTGCTAACTGGTCAGTAGTTCTAATCTAACAGTCACTCTGTGGAAAAAGATGAGACTTTCTGCTCCTGTAACGATGTCCAGCCTTGGAAACCCTATACAGTGTCACTATGAGTCAGAATCGACTCGGTGGTACAAGACCACTAGTCTAAGTTTCCATTATCAATAAAATGGAAAGTATCATTGTTTTAAGTGTCCACTGAGACCACTGATGTACATGAATTCCCGTACAGACAGTGCTCAACACTGACCTTCCATTCAGAAAATGTCTGATAATAATGGTGCATTAGACAAACGCTTATGATGCACTTAAACACTGGGGGTCCCTCGGGAACAAAGCAGCAACTCTGTCCCCATGAGCCACTCATTCTAGTGGAATCACAAGAAAGACACCAATTATAGCATTGAAAGTAGTGACAAGGAAGACAAAGTGAGGTGAGGACACAGGAAACGGTGAGAAAGGGTGTGTCTAGTAGCTTGCTCAGTGTCTAATAACTAGCTCTCAGAAAAGGAAGCCCACACACAAAATAACTGGTTTGTGGTGTTTGCCAGTTTCCCTGGTGTAAATACTTCCACGAGGCAGGTTTCAGGCCACCAAACTTAGATCCCTGAATGCAGCGTTGGGACCATGTGAACACATCGTTGTGTTCCCCATGTGGGTCCCCATGAAGCAGCTCCAACACCTTGTTGCATGTGGGGTTAGGGTTTCTTAGCTGGTGTGATCAGAGCTAGTGTGATCATCTTTTTGATGATTTGACATTTAAACAGAGACTAGGGTTATAGCCAGCCATGAGGGAGACTAGTTAGGGAGCAAGAACAGCTTGTAATAAAGACCTTGATGTGACAACACAGAAGTGTTTGAAGAGCAGCGAACACGCATGGAGAGCTCAAGCCAGAGAAGACGTGGGAGCGAGTGAGGATGCCAGTCATGTGGGGCCTATGGACAAGGAGAAACAGAATGATTATGATTTGTCATTACTAACACATTTTTAAACTGGGAAATTAGTATGATGGAAAGATCTTGACATTTCAAATCTTTTATATTTGGTTTGAAATCCAGACTTCTAATGCCGATGACTTCAAACTAGTTACTAAACCTCTCTGAGCTTTAGTTTCTTAACTGAAACTCAATAAGATTCATTCACTCAGTAAATATTTATTTACTGCTGACTCCTTGGAAACCCTATACTGGGACCCTATGGGTCAGAAATGACTGGCCAGCACTTAACAACAACAACAACAACAACAACAAATGTGGGCTTCTGGTGTGGTGCTATAGGATAAAATACTGAGCTGCTGACCCCTAGATTGGTGGTTCAAACCCAAGAGATAATCCTGAGAAACCCTATACAGGGTCAATATAACTTGGAACCAAATCAACACATCACAACAACAACAATGTTCCCTGCTGGTGTAGTGAGCTAAGTGTTAGGCTACTAGCTGAAAGGTCTATGGTTCAAACCCACCAGCAACTCTGTGAGAGAAAGCTAAGGCTGTCTGTCGGTTTCTATAAAGATTTCAGTCTCAGAAACTCTATGGAGTAATCTACTTGGTTTTTTGACTTCCTGGTGTGGTACTGCAGGGTAAGCGCTGGACTGCTAACTGAAAGGTCCAAGGTTCAAACCCACCAGCTGCTCAGTGGAAACCCTATACAGGATCTCTGTGAGTAGGAAGTGACTGATGGCAATTAACAACAACAACATAGCGTCACTATGAGTCCATAGGAATGAGTTTTGGTTTGGTATATGCCAGACATGGTTTTGGGAGTTGGACATTCAGCAGGGAACAGCACAGACAGATTTCCTATCTTGTGCCCCTTATAATCTAGTTGTTGTTGTTAAGTGCTGTCGAGTTGGCTCCAACTTGAACCGCTGACCTTGCAGTTCAAACTGACCTTATAGTCCAGTGCCTTAACCCACAGCATCACACCAGAACTCCTATATTCTAGTGATAGCAACCAAACAAATCATAAATACGATATGCCAAAGAATAATGAGTGTTGTCAGGGTGAGAGGGGCAGTTGTTATTGTTATTAAGTGCCATCGAGTTGTTTCCGACCCATAGTGACCCTGTATAGGGTCTCCAAGGAACAACTGGTAAGCTTGAACTGCCAACCTTGCAGTTCAAACGGCTTTGCAGTCTGGTGCATTACCCCACAGTGTCACACCAGGACTCCCATGAGAGGGGCAGGGGTGCTGTTTAATAGAATTGTTAGGGAAGGCATCTCTGAGCAGGCAATCTTAGAGCAAGGACCTGAAGCTGGTGAGAGATTAAACACTTCAGAGATCTATGAGATGATAATGTTTGTTCTGTAGATTTATTTTTTAAATATGGTAGAATTTTATAATCATGTAATTAGTGACATATCTCTATCTAGGAGCTCGGGTAGCTCAATGGTTAAAAGTTCAGCTGCTAATTGAGAGGTTAGCAGTTCAAACCCACCCAGAATCTCTGCAGGACAAAGACCTGGCTGTCTGTTCTTCTGAAAATCACAGGCTAGAAAGCCCTACTTTGGGCTTTCTACTCTGTTAGAGTAGAAAGTTCTACTCTGTTACATGGGGGTTTTGTGAGTCAGGATCAACGAAGGGTACCAAACAACATCAACAACATTATCTATTTTATCTATCTATCTATCTATCTATCTATCTATCTATCTATCTATCTATCTATCTAATCTATCCATCCATCCATTCACCATCCATCCATCTATCCATCCATGCATCCATTTTTCCACGTGCACACAGGGCAGAGGCCATAGTTGTGTCAAGAATCTGAGAGACAGCCTGTAGGGTTAGGATAGTGTGTAGTGAGAGAAGTGATGATTAAAGACTCATGCAGGGCCTTGGAAAATTAGTCCTCAAATCTGTATGCCTTCCTAATTTTACTAGTAACGAGCTGGCCTCCAACTTCCTGTCCGCATCCTTCCTTGTGCTCTCCTAGTCCTATTGAGAATCATCTCTTCCATTATTATTTCTGCCTCCTACTTGATCTGTCTCATCTTGTACTCCTATCTTCCCAGTCACCTCACAACAGATTTAGATACATACATGCACATCCTGCACACCCCATACCCACATGCATATACATGCATGAATATCCACATTTATGAAAACATCCCTGCATACGTGTGCACATACACACTACATGTGTCAACATACGGGTTCATTCTTTTATCAGAATTATTTTCATAAAACACAGTCATGACATACCATTTCTTGACTGAATGGTGTCACCTTTCACTGTTGCCCACACAGAATGTCTAGACTCAGCAGACTTTCAGGGAACTTCGCACTCTAGCCCCAAAGAACCTTTGGCGTTCCTTCCTGTAGCCATTCTTCCAGGACAGCCCTTGAGGATCTGAGCTGATACAACATCTCCCACCTCCCTGCATACACTGTGTTGATCCAGCCATACATTGTACTAGTATTTACTGATGATCCACTGTACACTAGACATCGTTCATGGCACCTGGGATACATCAGTGAATAAAAGAGACAACACATTCAGGGTCATCAATAGGCATCAATAGGCATGATCGACCCATATGTTCTGTGCATGCTAGAAGAGGAGAGATTTTGTAGAAAAACATCTGCGTATGATGAGAAGGTGGGGGACATGCTGGTGTTGGGGAGAAATTTGCATTGCCACTGCTCTTTGCCCCTGTGTTTCATCTAATCATACAATCCTTGTCCTCTGCAACCACACCATTTAAATCAATTTCAGACACAAATCAGATTATTATGACTTTAAGGGCTGGGGTAGGTGGGTGATGGAGAGAGAGCATGGATGCACAGATCATCGGTTCATTTTTCTGAACATTTTCTTGGGATTGGAAGCGTGGCATGGTAATTTTTAAATGTTTAAACCTTCTTGCGATGCTTACATGTTCTGTGGATTCCCAGCATACAGGCCCACAGCCAGTTATCCCTGGACATCCGGAACTCTGAGTACCTGGCCAGCATGCCCCCGCTACCTGCGGAGTGTCCAGACATTGACGGAGACTGGAGCACCCTGCCTGTGATCTTCGAGGATCGTTATGTGGACTGCCCTGCTACAGGTGGGCCATTGTACAAGCTGGGAGCCAGACTCTTATCCCTCCAGGGGTGGGCGTTAGTGGAGGAAGAGCCCGCCTTATCTCAAACACACAATTCAAACACAAAGTCATGTCTAATTGAATGTTAATGGCATTCAGTGCAAACCCCCATAATGTGCCCATGTTATGCCAGGAGCCAGACAGTGTACTTGAGCAATGGGGCTCACTAGATGGATGGATGGAAGGATGCATGGATGGACAGATGATGGCTGGATGGAAACAATAGCACTTTTGAATGTATTTGTTTGTGCACATGAATCCAAGCACAGTCTGGTGGATGTTGTGCAGAACTTGGTAATAAACGGATGGCCTGACTGGAAAGAAACTAGCGTACACTGGGAATGTCAGCTCACTGCTCTTTCTCTGGACAACCATGTGCAAAGATAATCAACAAATGCTTGCAGATGCTCCTAAGATCCTTCAGAAATGTCAGGTCCTGTGTGGGTGGTACAGTGGTTAAGTGCTGGGATGTTAACCAAAAGGTCAGAAGTTCGAGCCCACTAACTGCTTCATGAGAGAAAGATGAGGCAGTCTGCTTCCATAAAGACTATGGCCTTGGAAACCCCAGGAGGCAGTTCTGCTTTGTCCAATAGGGCCATTATGCGTTGGAATTAACTCAAAGGCAGAAGTGTTTATTTTATTTTATTTTTGTGCTGGAGGTTACATGTGATTAATCTCTTCAGTCCGCTAAACAATCTCATGAGTCCTATAACACAAGAAATGAAGGCACAGGAGTTTGTAAGTGCTTAATCAAGATCACAACAACATTCCAAGTGAATTCACTCTGACACCAAAGGTTCTCTTTTGCCTAACCATCTTTGTGGGATGCTTTAAACCATTGCACATGGTGTGGATAGGCATTTTAATGTTGGGGGTAAATGCTCAATGTGAGAGTTTCTGCCATCTGAGGTGTATAGATTGTGTTAGAAATCTGGGTGACTTCCGAGGACTACATATAGGTGCTCCTATTTGATTCATAAGGATCTCTGGTAGTGTAGTGGTTACGAATCGGGCTGCGAACCACAAAGTCAACAGTTCAAAACTACCAGCTGCTCCACAGGTGAAAGATGAGGTGTTCTGCTCCCGTAAAGATTTACAACCTTGGAAGCCCTGTTCAGGGTCGCTATGGGTCGGAACTGACTTGACGGCACTTAACAACACAACAACAATTTGATTCATGGAGTCCTGGTGTGATGCTGTAGGATAAACATTGGGCTGTGCATCTCAAGGTTGATGGTTCAAACTCACCAGCCTTTCCTTGGAAACCCTGTACACGGTCGCTATGGGTCGGAACCGACTTGAAGTCACGTAACAACAACAACTCAACTGCACTTCACGACCTCTGGATTTTGGTTATACTCTGACATCTAGTGTCAACATGGTAAATTACAACTGAAATGCACATTCACTACGAAATAGCAGAGCAGCCAATTGGTCAGCACCAACTTACAACTTCATTGACACTATTTTAGAGGTGGGGGAACGTGGGATATGTGGGGGGGCTTCAAAAAGTTTGTGGACAAATTCCAATATCTTTTTATTCCATATTTCCCTGAAGATTTTGAAGTCTCCTCATATATAATCTCATCATTATGATGGTCACATAATTTAACTATAGAAACTTTAGAGAGTTAGAGTAGAAATTTAAAAGAACCACTGATTATCAGACCTCTGTATCAAATCCTAAGTGTTCTCTTTCCATACTTGTGCGTAATAATAGTGCACACATTTCCCTGAAGCACTCTTAGGAAAGTCAATCTCAGACTTTGCTGGGCTTCTTGACCCAGCCCTCCTCCATCACCAATTATGTCAGTGCCCCTGAGTCTTAAACATCAATCAGCAAGACCAGCTGGAGAGGAATTTCTAGAGTCATCTGCTCAGCAAGGTTCTGCTAAGCCATGCTTTGTCCAACGTTATTGCTACTACTGCCTTCAGGTCAGTTCTGACCCATAGCAAACCCATCTTTGAACAACAGAATGAGATATTTCTGAGTTCTGCACCATCCTTACAAGGATGTTCTGCTTTAGCCATTGTTGTAGCAACAGTGTCTGTCCATCTCATTGAGGGTCTTCCTCTTTTTTGCTGACCCTCTACTTCGTCACCACTACTCATCTGTCAACTTGTTGTACTGTGATGGCTTGTGTGTTGCTGTGATTCCGGAAACTATGACACCAGTATTTTAAATACCAGCAGGGTTGCCCAGGGGGTACAGGTCTTATCAGAGCTTCCAGGTTAAGACAGACTAGGAAGAAGGAGTTGTTGTTTGTAAGTGTGGTCAATTTAATTCTGAGTAATACTCACTCTATACATAACAGAACACTGCCTGGTCCTGAACCATCCTAGTTGTGACTCATGAGTCCATTGCTGTGGTCACTGTGCCAGTCCATCTCGTTGGGGAACTTCCTTTTTCACACTGACCCTCCATTTTACCAAGCATGATGTCCTTCTCCAAGGACTGGTCCCTCCTGATATCAGAAGTATGAGAGACAAAATCTTGTCATCCTTGCTTCTAAAGCGCATTTTGGCTATACTTATTCCAACACAGGTTTGTTGCTCTTCTGAAAATCCATGGTACTTTTAATATTCTTCTGTAATACCATAGCTCAAATGCATCAATTCTTCTATGTTCTGCCTTTTTCATTGTATAGATTTCACACGCATATCTTGGGTCAGATGTATTTTGGTCCTCAGACTAGCATCTTTGCTCTTGAACATTTTAAAGCGGTCTTGTGCAGTGGATTTACCTAATGCAAATATTGTTTGATTTTTGACTGCTGCTTCCTTAAATGGTTAGTCACTGAAATCCATTAGTACGCATATCTTCCTCTAGGTCATTGGATATATTTACATTGTCTTCTTCTAGTCCACTGAAAACAAAGGGGATACATGAGTTCTGTTTCTGTTTCTGTCTGATGCAGTACCAGGGCTTGAAGGCCTACTGTAAACTGCCATTTTGCAATTTTCACCTAGAGAGCCATACCTCATTTTATTGTACTTTGCTTTATCATGCTTTATAGCTACTGCATATTCTTTTAACCAACTGAAGGTTTATGGCAACCCTGTTTCAAGTCACTTCTATATATTCCAGTTTCAGACCGCCTATGCTTTCTCCATGTTTCTGTGTCATGTACTGATAATTCTCACAGTATTTCTAAATCTTCCATAATGGTATTGCACTTAATAGACTACAGTCTAGTGTACACATTAACTTTTACAGACAATGGAAACCCACCCACCCACCCCCCAAATTCATGTGACTCACTTTATTGCAATGTTTGCTTTATTGTGGAGGCCTGGAATGGAACCTACAGTGTCTCCAAGATCTGCCTGTCATCTGTCATGAATGCTTCCTGGCCCCCCATACACATCTGCCCTAAGGTGATTGAGTGAGAGATTTATTATAAAGAAATATTTTTTTTAAAAAGAAAGAAAGAAACATCATACTTTCCCTCCAACCCATGTATGAAGGTCAAGGTGACTCTGGGAACTACTTTGAAACAGATCACAGTAGAAGGTCCTGGGGAGAATGGGAGAAAAATGTGACACAAAACTCAAAATTATAAAGAAAGATTAGGCTTACTGGCTGGATAGTGACTGGTAGACCCCTTAGGTATGTGACCCTTGGTCGCCCTTCAGGTCTGGAGGTGAACTCATCCCCTGTGGCTCTGTTTTCAGCTGAATAATAGGTCTATAAGGGGAATGATACCAATGGTGAAGTATGTACACCTTAAGATAATCAACCATTTAAATCAAAAGGACAGTATTCATCCAAGGACAAAGTTCACAATTGTTAGAAAAGAAGGAGGAATGGAAACAAGAAACAGAGAGAACGTGGAATACGTGATGTTGCATTGTGGAAATTGCAGTCAGTGAAATGAAATAAGATGTATATGATTTGTTGAACGGAAAGCTGATAGGATCTGTAAACTTGCACCCAGTTCACAATAAAATGAAGAATGAACAAAAGGTAAGTTTGGGAACCTACTTGTTGTTGGAATACCATTAAGGATAATCCCATCAATTACAAAACTCAGGGAAATCATTTTACCACAGAAAGCTGAAATCTCTTCTTTGTGTATAGCATCATTCCTATCTTAATTCTACTGTGAGTTATGCCTGCAAGGCAACTGCTGGTAACTATGCACCTGTCCAAGCTAGAACTGAGGACAGTTGTTTCCTATAGGAAAAGAGCTTATTTAAATTTTATAAATGTCCATGGTCCCCAAGGGGATAACTGCCCCAAGTGGCAATGTAAGGTTTCAAATCCAGGCCTTCCTGGCTCCAAAGTTCTCTTTGTACTCTGTAGATGTCGAAAGATGTAACATGGGTGAAAAACCGGTGTGATATTTACAAGTGGAAATCGCTTTAATAAGAAAAAGGTAAATCAAGAATTGTAGCTCTTGGCCTCTTTCTATTAGGCATTTGGATAATTTGTGATCATAGATTCTTAAACTATATTTTCTTGTTCTTTTTTTTTCCTTTTCTTTTCATAGAGCATCACTTGAATGTTTATCCTAATTTTGATGTTCCTGTGACAAGTCCTACAAGAATGAATCTAACAGAAGAGAACTCTAATGTAAATAGAAAGTTGTCTTTCAGGGAAGACCTTGTCTTGTCCCCTGAGAAGCCACTCCACATGGACCCTGATGAAGAGGTCCTTAGGGGCCCAGATCCAGATGAGAATGAGGCCACACCACATCATGTAGACCCGTGCTCTGAATCTCAAGTGTATCTAACAATTGGTGAATTCCAGAACAAAACACATTTACCTGATGAAGATTGTTGGAGTGGCCAAAGGTCTGAGGTGGGAACAACCCATCTGCAGGCTGGTCTAGACATGCCAATAAAGAGTTTGGATCCAGAGGATGGACAGGTCACAACGCTGACCTACCTTGATGTGAAGTCAAGCAGTAAGAACTCGTGCAGAGCTGAACCCGTGGTGGTCCAACCCATGGTGGTCTTCAATACTCCTCGAGAGACTGGAGCCTCAGGAGATAGCTATGAATCAGATAGAACTATGCTTAGCAAAATGACAGCAGGTGAATGTCATCAAATTGCAATCTCTTCGGAAAAGTCAGCGCTCCACGAATTAAGTCCTCTTGGAAAGGGGGTCGAACAAGAAGGTAAGATGGTGCTGCTAAGTCTAAAACCCATCCCTTCTGAGCCCTGTGATCCTCTAAGCTCTATTCTGAGGGACTCCTTGGACCTTAGGCCTTCCCCAAGGGACCCCCACACAGAAGGGCAGGAGGGAGTGTTACTGCTCTCTGGGATCATCAGGAGATCTTCTTCTATCATATCGGACTCAGGCATTGAAAGTGAGCCAAGCTCCATTGCCTGGTCAGAGGCCCGGAGCAGGGCTCTGGACTTGCCCAGTGACCGGGAAGTCTTGCAGCAGCTGGTTCGAAGGCATGCTCTTCACAGGAACTCCCTGGAGGGGGGACACACAGAGAGCAACACGAGTTTGCCCAGCGGGATACAGGCCTCCCTCACCTCCATCAGCTCGCTGCCCTTTGAGGACGAGGAGCGGGAGTTGGCACTCACCAAATTGACCAAGTCTGTGTCTGCACCCCAAATCAGTAGCCCGGAGGAATCTGCTGATGACGCAGACACCATGAAGCAAGGGGGAGGTCTTGCTGAAGCTTTGGATATGCACATCAAAAACATAGCTTCCCCAGGAAACGGCTCCCCACTTTGTGGTAGCTCCAGAACCCACGATGCTGAGGCCAACCATTCCCTTGTGGAGATAGTTTTAGAAGCTGAAGACCCTCAGGACCCTGATTACATAGACATTCCCAAAGGTAAAGAGAGTCAGGTTGCTCTTGATGATAGAACTAAGAACCCCTCAGGTGTTGATACCAAAGGTGTTCATTTTAAAACACCAAGCATTATAGCACTTGAAAACCCTTGGGAGAGATTTTTCCACGGAGCACCGTTGGAGACTCCAAAGAGCATGCCTGAAGACTGCAATGTTGGGGACGGAGTGCTTTCTAACAGCAGCCTCTCCGATGTTGAGGCCATTGCCCACTATAAGGTGCCTGTTTGGAGCTGTGCATCGGCTGTTGGTGCCATCCACCTGGAGCCACCAGATGGCACAGTGTTTCCTAAAGGAGCTAACTCCTGGTCTGGGACTGAATGTAAAGCTGTTACCACGTGGCCCGCCATGACTCACTCCACCCACTCCCAGGAATCTGAAAACCAAGAGATGAAGGCAGCAGGCCCTTCCATCCTGGTGTCTCCGCTAAGCGCTCCAGAGGCCTTTCCTCTGGACAACCTGAAGGCTGTGGAGGTGGTTAACTTATCTGTGTCTTGCACTGCCACCTGCCTCCCCTTCTCATCTGTCCTCAAGGAGACCCCTGCCAGGGCTGGATTCTCCTCCAGGCAGACACCGTTCCCCATCACCCATCAGCCCCTGGGCTCCTTTGGAGCAGTTTCCATGCATGTCAGCAGACTGGAGGGAGAAGTCAGTGAAAGAATGTTCAGGTAAGCTTGCTGGTGGCTTATTTATTCCAGCTCAGCCTTTTATGTTTTTCTACCTATGTCTCAATTCCATGCATGACTCTTTAAAATAAAAATCACAACTACTTTATATTTCAAATAGTAATATATGTATATAAGGGTGCTTCCAAAAAATGGTGGAAAGATTCCATTATCTTTTAATTCCATATTCATTCCAACTTTGGTACCGTCAGATAAGCGCTGGACTGCGAACTACAAGGTCAGCAGTTCAAATCCATCAGCTGCTACTTGAAACCCTGTATAGGGTCACTATGAGTCAGAAACAACTTGATGGCATTTAACAACACCAACAATAGGATTGATTGTAAAAATAGGGAAATGCAGAAAGGTGTAAAGAGGTAAACATTAATAATAATAACCGAACTCCCCAAAAGAGCCATTGTGTATATTATTCCATAATTTTTTCTGTGTCTGTCTACATCTAGAGGTGCTTTTTATGCAAAAATAGGATCATTTAACTCCTCCTCAGACACTCTGTATGGGGCCACTATGAGTCAGAACTGACTCCCTGGCACACAACCACCACCACCACTGTTTAGTTTAATGAAGACTTTATAGGATAATTTAGGTTCAGTACATAAACGTTTCCAGGCAATAGATTTGAGTGTTCCTCTAGCCTCAGTGTGTCCAATAGGTCTGGTTTCCAATGATAATTTAACACTCTATTCTACAGTTTTCTTCCTTTTGATTACGGTTAATTCACTGGGTCCCTGATCAGAACACCAGGTAATGATAGCTGAACACCATCCATTTCTTCTAGTTTCATGGAAGAAATTTTAGCCTTATAGACCACTTCCTTCTCCTCTTCGTGGGTCTTCTTTTTCCACTGTTGATTGTGGTGAATAGAGACCAATGTTGTTTATTGAATGGCTGCTAGTGCTGGCAATCCTTGAAGACCCCAGGCACAGCCCTCTGAACTGGGAGGTAGAGCAGAAACCAGAGTAATATTAGGCCAGTGACCACATGAAGACCTCTTATTTTATAAGGAATAGTCAATGTTGATGGTATGACGCTCATCAAGTCAACAAATACATGCATACTAGGCACTGTCCAAGGCCTGGTCAGCTCTGATAGTCTGACAGGAGAAGTGCTGCTTGTGCTGTAGAATAAGCACTGGAATGTGACCCACAAAGTTGGTAGTTCAAACCCACCAGCTGCTCCTGGAGGAAGAGATGAGACTTTCTGGTCTTCCTTCACAGCCTCAAAAACCCTATACAGGGAAGCTGTGAGTCAGAACTGGACTCAATAGCACCCAACAACAACAGTCTAAAGAAACAGATGCAAATGAGAACAGTTGTTGGGGCAGTGTGATTGTTCATCTGCACACCGTGAAGGCCAGAAGACATGGACCTAAGGGGTCTGGAGGCCAGAAGATGCTTTAGATAAAAACTGCCACTTGGGTTGAGGAACCTTGATGGTGTAGTAGCTTATGCTACTTGGGCTGTTAGCTGCATGGTCAGCAGTTTGAATCCACCAGCTGCCCCACAGGGGAAAGATGAGGCTTTCTGCTCCCATAGAGACTTACAGCCTCAGAAACCCTGTACAGGGTTGCTATGAGTAGGAACCGAATCAACAGCACAGAACAAGAACATGGTGATACGATATGGCTGATAATGTATATATATTTTTAACTCTTTGATGTATTTCAACGAGTGTGTGTGGCATTGTGGATTAACAGGCTAGACTTCAAAGTCGGTTTGAACCATAAGGTCAGCGGTTCAAGCTCACCAGCCACTCTTTGGAAACCCTATACAGGGTCTCTGTAGGTAGGAGGTAACTTGATGGCACTTAACAACAACAGCTAGTTATTTTGCATGGTGGTGACTGTGTGCCATGGAGTCGGTTCCGACACATAGCGACCCTGTACAGGGTTTCTGAGGCTATAAATCTTTATGGGAGCAGAAAGCCTCATCTTTCTCCCGCAGAACAGCTGGTAGTTTCAAACTGCTGACCTTGCGATTCGCAGCCCGATTCATAACCACTACGCTACCAGATACCTTTTGCATAGGTATCACTTAATGGACAAAACAACTTTATCATCTAGGTAGAGATGCTATTCCATTTTTATGAAAGAAGATACTGAGCACAGAGAGATTAAGCATTTGCCCTCAGTTTCTCAATGTCTATGCCAAGATGACAACCTCAGGCTCCTAGCCTTTTCATGTGACCAGGCAGAGTGGTGGGAAAGCCATTCCGGGCAGACAGACAGGCATGGCAGCAGGGCCAAAGGGTAAGGTCCCGGTAGGGAATTACAGTGAAGCTCAGAGAGCCAGAACTCAAGCAGACTGCCTTGTTTATCTGGGTCTTGCAAACTTTCCACTTCTGATAGGTGGAAACAGTATGACTACTTTTCTAAATCTCGTTTCAATGGAAAACATTTCATTTTTCCGTCTCTGACAAGTTCTGGCTTTTGCAGGCTTTACTGTATATGGAGTGGACCATTTGTGGAGGCTTCGAGTGACTAGGGCTGATGTTAAAGAAGCAGGTGGAGAGCAAGCTAGTGGCTGTGTGCCCATTTAAGGAGCATTAACCCTGGGGAAGAGTTTTTGAAAGATTGCAGAGTCTTGGAGTGGGGAGAATCTTAGGAATTCCGTCATCCAGTCTCTGACTCCCTGCAGGAGCCACAAATCAATCCTGCAGGATCCAAACCCCTAGATTCTTTGGCTTTGGGGGTGCTGCGTTTCTTGTTCCATGTCTCCATCACCAGCCTCTTCTCAGAGGTCTCATATTCAACCACTATTCTGTAGGCCTTCATTACGTTCACATACCAGTCCAACTCATTTCCCATTCAGCATGGAATACACGGCATGGCTAGTAATTAATTAGTGTATTCTCCAGTTTCTATCAGGCCAAAGAAAAATTTAAAAAAGAACTGAAGATTGAAGAATTTCTGTACAGTGACTTATCTGTACTCGCTTCTGACATACCGTATTTCCCACCAGAGGAAGAGGAAGAAAATTTGGAAGATGGGATTCACCTGGTTGTCTGCGTCCATGGCCTGGATGGTGAGTTCTAGGACAAGCTTCCTCCACAAAATTCTACATAGTATACAAGTTTTAGGAGCTCTGGTAGCATAGTGGGTTACAAGTTGGCCTGCTAACTGCAAGGTCAGCAGTTCAAATGTGTCAGATGCCCTGCAGAAAAAAGATGAGGGTTTCTGCTCCCATAAAGATGTACTGGCTAAGAAACCGTACATGGGGTCACTATGAGGCAGTATAGACGCCACAGTTTTAGTATTCATGGTAGTCATTTTGTTCACATATCCAGGAAACAAATGTTCAAGTGCCTTCTCTGGACTGGCATTGATTATGTTGTATCTAGACATAGTGTGGCATTGTGTCCAAAGAAAATAACTTTCTGGCACACACGTACATACACACACACACACACACACACACACACTTGAATAAATAAAATATATAACAGAGTGAGTGAATCAAATGAAATAATGAATCTAAGAACTCAAGGACAGAATGAATGAAGGAAATAATGGAAATAATAAATAATGGCTGAATGAGTGAAGAAAAGTTTAAAAAGGGTTAAATGGATGACTGGAATGGATTCACATGTTAATGGAGTGGATGGAACGAGAGGATGTATGGAATACATGACCAATTACAGATGCGTGATCAGTACAATCATATGTGTAAAGGAGGAGGAGTTGAAATGAGAGTAGGAAGTTCTGGGGAACTCAGGTTAGTGATGTAGACAGTTTACTTCCTGTCTTTTATTCACCTCTCTTTTATGGGGCACCTTCTATACTCCTGGTACTTGACCAAATTCTGGAAATACTGAGATTACACATGGATTTCTGATCCTGTAAAGTTTTCACTTTAGTGCAGTCAGCAGTAATTTCTTTTCATAATACACAATTTCATTCATTCAAAGAACAATCTAATACATGGTGAAGGGGCCATGAGGAAAAGAGGCTAGATGGAGGAAGTGATCCTTCCCCTCCGAAAGACGACCTAGTTAGTCTCCAGGTGTCAGAGTCCTCTAGAATTTGCCTGGATCAGTTCAAATGCTTTGTCCTTGCTCAGCCTGGACCCAAAGGAACACATTTGGTCTCCAGTTCCCTTACAAAGTCCAACCTCTCCGTGACTGGTGGAACTTAAAAGATGAGTTGAATTGGAGGCACTGGTAATTTTATTTGTGGTACTCAAATATAAATTTAAATCACAATTGATCTGAATATTGGAATGTAGACTGTGTCTTCTCAAAGGGATGTTGACATCTACTTGATATGTACTCTAATACCCTGGTGTGGCGCTGTGGCTAATGGGTCAGACTGCAAAGTGATTTGAACTGCAACATTGGTTGTTCAAGCTCACCAGCTACTCCTTGGAAACCCTATACAGGGTCACTATGACTCAGAACCGACTTGATGGCACTTAACAACAAAGATGTATAATTGGAGTCCTGGTGTGGCCCTGTAGGATAAGCACAAGACTGCTAACCAACAGGTTGCTGGTTCAAACCCACCAGCAATTGCTCAGAAACCCTATACAGCATTGCTATAGGTTGGAACTGACTTGACAGCACTTAACAACAACAATGTATAATCAGAGTCCTGGTGTGGCACTGTAGGATAAGTACTGGACTACTAACCACAAGGTCAGTGGTTCAAACCCATCAAGTTCTACTCATAAACCCTAAAAAGAATCTCTGTGGGTTCATACCAAACTCAGTGGCATTTAACAACAACAACAAAGACACAAGACTACAACAAATGTGTAATTAAGGATTAGAGAGATGAAGGGACTTCACCAGTTCCTCCCAAGTGAGAAGTGGCAACCCTTGTGGTAACTTTTTGCTTATGGCACTCACAGGACATTGCTGAATATTCCCTGGATCCACCTTACCACCCAGGTTTTTGCTTCTGAATCTATACATAGACTTTAGTCTCAGTAAGCCCCCGAAAGCAAAGTACAAAATGTGACTCAGGAGGAAGTATGGCACACTCCAAAATAACCACTTGATTTGTCTAGTACTCCTAAACACAATAAGGAAGACTGTAGAAGAATTGACACTTTTGAGTTGTGGTGTTGGAGGATAATATTGAAAGTGCCATGGGCTGCCAAAAGAACCAACAGATGTGTTGGAAGAAGTGTAGCCAGAGTTCTCCTTGGAGGCCAGGATGGCCAAACTTCATCTTTCATACTTCAGGCATATTGTCAGGAGGGACCAATTGCTGGAGAAGGATGTCATAATTGGTAAGGTGGAAGAGGGTCAGAGAAAAAGATGAAGACCCTGAATGAAAAGGATTGGCAATATGGCAGCATCAGTGGTCCCAAGCGTGGCAACAGTTGTGAGGTTGGGCCAGGACCAGGTGGTGTTTCATTCTTTGTGCATAGTGTTGCTATGAGTTGGTACCGATTCAATGGCACCTAATAAAAACAACCTAAGAACAAACAGGTTTACATCTTTACTGAAGCTGACTGCTTTATCTTTCTCCCGTGGAATGACTAGGGGGTGGGAACCATGGATCCGTGGGTTCGCAGCAGAGAACTTTAAACACTGTACCACCAGGCCACCTTACTCTGCACTGAAGTAAGGCTACATGAGAATTGTGTGCAATTCTTTGACTTACGTAAACATTTGACTTCAAGACTTCGTCTTAAAGACACATTGAGCAGAGGAGCTCATTCATAGTCTGGGGACTCCCTATATCCCCCAAAGTTCATTCCTTTGTGTCACATCCTTGAACTTTCATTCCTCTATTGCTTGGAGTTTACACATTCACGACTCCTGTTTCTAAGGACAATTTATCTTCCCTTGTAGATAACATAGGTCCTGGTGAACTTGTTTTGGGAGCCTGATGAGTATACGTTGTTGTTGTTGTTGTTGTTGTTGTTGTTGTTGTTGTTGTTAGGTGCCATCAAGTCGGCACCGACTCATGGTGACCTTATGCACAGCATAATGAAACAATTTCTGATCCTGGGCCAACCTCACTACTGTTGCCACACTTGAGTCTATTGATGCTGCCACCTGGCCAATCCATCTCTTTGAGGGTCTTCCTCTTTTTCTCTGACCCTCCATCTTACCCACCATGACATCCTTCTCTAGAGACTGTTCCCTCCTGACAATATGTCCAAAGTAAGAGAGACGAAGTTTAGCCATCTTGGCCTCTAAGGAGCACTATGGCTGCACTTCTTCCAAAACAGATCTATTGGTTCTTTTGGCAGCCCATGGCACTTTTAGTATTCTCCTCCAACACCACAATTCAAAGGCATCAATTCTTCTATGATCTTCCTTATTCACTGTCCAACTTTCACATCCATATGAGGTTATTGAAAATACCATGGCTTGGGTCAGGCACACCTTAGTCCTCAAGCTGACATCTTTGCTCTTCAACACTTTAAAAAGTTCTTGTGCAGCAGATTTGCCTAATGCAACACGTCGTCTGATCTCTTGACTGCTGCTTCTGTGAGTGTTGACAGTTGATCCAAGAAGAATGAAGTCCTTGACAACTTCAATCTTTTCTCTGTTGATAAGAATGTTGTTTATTGGTCCAGTGGTGAGGATTTTTGTTTTCTTGACATTGAAATGTAATCCATATCGAAGGCTGTGCTCTTTGATATTCATCAGTAAATGTTTTAAGTCCTCTTCACTTTAAGCACGCAAGGTTGTATCATCTGAATATTGCAGGAGTATAAGTGGTAGAACTGGATAAAAAGTCTTTGTATTAAGCAAGAGATTTGAGAGTTGTAGCTTCCATATAATTCCACATCAACCATTTGGCGGCATTCCTTGCAAAATATCTTGGGCAGGCAGAATTGATGGAAGAAAATGGGGAGATGGGTGTGTGGACTGTTCTCAAACCTCATGTTAAATAGATCGAGTAGTAATTCTATTGGGGAAGGACCATTAGAAAGGAGTAGAATGTGTGTATGTTGAGGCAGGAAGGGCGTGTGGCCAGGAAGGGAGCTGTGGCCTTTTTGTAGTTGTTTCTTGTATCTGCTTGAAGGACAGTAGGACTGTGGGGAGAGGGGAATGAACCCTTATGTGCCTGCTTGTCTATGACTAACCCTGGGACTGGGGTGGGGTCATCTGTCATTTTTAGGGAACAGTGCAGACCTCCGGTTGGTAAAGACTTTCATAGAACTGGGGCTCCCTGGAGGAAAACTGGATTTCCTAATGTCTGAAAAGAATCAGGTAGGAACACAAAAACATCAGAACTTAAGCTATCCCTGAGAGACATGACACATATGAGCTTCCTAGAGTCACAAGGGTGGTTATGGGGGTACACAGACTGGGGAGTGTTGGACCTTCCCACAACTCATGGGCCTGGATGACCTGGAGAGATAAGTCCACTGGCTTTTTTTCTGGAAGGTGGGGAAAAGTAACAAGTGGGATTATGAGAGCCAGGTGATTCCTTTTGATTTCATAGGACATTAGAGGTGGGCGACAGTTTTAAGCACTAATGATTTGGGTCTCCATGGGATTCTAGGGAAAACGGAATTCACTGTCACCTGGAGTTTGCTGTGATCTCTTTGTGGTCAGAGGTGACGTGAGGACCTTTGCTGCTTCAAGTAAGGTGGAGCATGGGTCTCATCAGAGTTGATGAGAATTTAGAGAACCCGTTGACAACAATGAAGAACTGAAATGTCTTCAACACCCCAAGAGTGTTTTTGATAGCTCAGCCTGTGAACCCATTTCCTGATGCTGAATTCCAATCTGTAGCCCTAACACCAGGCTTCAGCACAGCCCAGAATGCTCCATGAAGTTGAATAAAGAAAGTGGATATATGACCCCACCATTTACCTTTCTTTGTTACCTTCTTCCAGATGGACACATTTGCAGATTTTGATACCATGACTGACCGGCTACTGGACGAGATCATCCAACACATTCAGTTGTACAACCTCTCCATATCCCGAATTAGGTAAAAGGAAGCCACAGGTAGTTAACGCAGGGAGGAGAGGGGGGACCTTTGTGAGGGCTTGCTGTATACAAGCTTGGTACGAAGCCTTTTGAATACCCCTGAGATACATTAACTTGTGACTTTAAGCAAGTAGATCACCTTCAGAGCAGAAATGAGACCAGAACAGTGGCTATACCCAGATCTGTCTTAGAATGGGGTGGGAGAATCAACTTTTTGAGACTCAGTAGAAAAAGTTTTGAACTTAGAAACCAGAATTCCCAGATTGACATTCTTCCTTCTCTTCCAAGCGTGTGTTTCAATCTTGACTCTCCTACATGCTACCTATGGCAGAACTTTTGTAAGCTTTCTGCATCTCTGAGCCTCTGTTTCCCCAATTGTTAAACGGAACTAGCACTGAGAGAATGCGTTCTAAAGCTGAGTAGATTGTCTGTTCAATAAGATGCTTTCAACCACTGCTTGTTTTATTTTCCTGGGGTGACAAATAGTTGAACTTAAACATGTAAATGGTGAAGACAGGAATGAATAGCTTGCATGTTTGGGGCATTTACAATGTGGCCTGTTATGTTCTAAGCCTTCAGCACTCCTGATCCCCTTTAGTATAAAAAGAAAAACCATCTTCATTCCACAAATAAGAAAGCAAAAGCTTGGAGAGGTTCAGTGTGATTAAAAGGACACATTAAAGACAGTGCAATTTCATAGTCGAATGGTCTCTCTTTCTTCTCCCAGTGTATGCTAAAGAGATGGGAAAACAGCCTGTTATAGTTATATACCAGGAACTCAGTGACTATAATTTAATTTAAAGATAATGAGAGGTTGAGTCCATGGGCGTGTGAGTAGCAATCAGACAAGCAGAAGCACAGGGCAGGTATGAGGACAGGATGCTCAAGACAGACTTGATGAATGAGTAGATGGATGGATAATGGGTGGATGGATGGATTGATGGGTGGATGGGTAATGGATGGATGGATGGATTGATGGATGGATAATGGATGGATAATGGATGGATGGATGGATTGATTGATTGATGGATGGATGGATGGATTGATGGATGGATAATGGATGGATGGATGGATGGATGGATGGATGGATGGATTGATGGATGGATTGATGGATGGATAATCGATGGATGGATGATTGATGGATGGATGGATGGATAGTGGATGCATGGATGGATAATGGATGGATGGATGGATGGATGGATGGATGGATGGATGGATGGATGGATTGATAATGGAATGAGGTCATGAAAACAACAAGCTATGAGGAACCTCGTCAGCCAGATGAAGAAACTTGGAGTTTTGCCTGTGAGTGAGTAGAACGCTGCAATCCTTAGATGTGCTTGTCATTAAGGAACCCCACCCAGCCCAGAGACTGAGGGGGAGGCTTCTGTAGAGACACAAAGCCAGGCAGTGGGCCCACACGTCTCAGATGACACACTGGAAGGAAAGTCTTCCTTTCACGAAGACCCTTCCTGACACTTAGGGATGCCTGGCTTTGGACTCCTGATGAGAGAGAATTAGAGGCTCCTCGGTCTTAGTGGGTAAGGTGCTCGGATGCTAACTGAAAGGTTGGTAGTATCTTCTCTTATAGAGAAAAGTAGTAGTCTGTTTCCATAAATATTTATAGCCTTGGAAACTCTATGGAGCACTTCTACTCTGATCTATAAGGTCACTGTGAATGGAAATGGATGGGTTTTGGGTTTAGGTCCTTGGAAGCCACAATGATTTTCATTTAACTAGGAAAAGATTGAAGTCCTAGTATGGCACTGTAGGTCCGCAGTTGAAACTCACCAGTTGCTCCTCAGAAACCCTATACAGAGTCGCTATGAGTTAGAACTGACTCAACAGTACTTGACACAATGACAAGTCAAAGAAAGATTGATGGTTCTTTAAAGCAGGATTCCAAACCAGTTCACTCTGGGTCAATCCCCTGCTGATGATTTACATTTCCACTCCAGATGTACTGAATCCGAAGCTACATTTTAACAAGATCCTCAGGACTTTCTTATGTCTTCGTAGGAGTGCAGGCATCCACAGGAACACATGCATGCATAGGACTTATGTGTAGCTAAGAATCACCTAGGGATCCTGTTAAAATGCACACTCTAATTCAGTATATCTGGGGTGGAAATGCAAATTCCCAGCAAGGCTAGAGTTAGAATGAACCAGCTGGAAGCCTTGGTTCAATCCCACCTACTGCTACCTGGGAAGAAAGACCTGGCGATTCCCTCTAAGATTTCAGCCATTGAACAGCTGTGGAGCACAGGTCTGCTCTGACACCCATGGGAGCACCATCAGTCAGAGTTCACTCCACAGCAGCAGGATTTTGTTGTTGTTGTTGTTGTTTTTAAAGCTAATTGTCTTTACCGGTTTCACTAAGTTCTGTGGGCAGAGCAGGGCTGCTGAACCCTGTGGCTCCAGCACAGAGCTCTCTTGCACCTACTCCACTGTTGTTGAGCTCACGTTTCCGCCATTTCTGTCTCTGAGCAGCTTCATCGGCCATTCTCTTGGCAACATCATCATCCGATCCGTCCTCACTCGGCCCCGCTTTCGGTATTACCTCAACAAACTGCACACATTCCTGTCTCTGTCCGGACCTCACCTGGGGACCCTGTACAACAACAGTGCCCTGGTTAGTACAGGTAAGACCCACCGCTACCCCAACACCTTCAACGTGAATGCAGAGCAGAGCAAAGATGAAGCCAGACGCAGAGCGTTGTAGGGTGGGATCTGGGAGTTTGGGATCTCTTCAAGGCATGGCGCTCTGGTCATAGAAGGTTGTTGTTAAGTGCCCTGAAGTTGGATCCCTACTCATAGAAACCTTGTATAGGATTTCTGAGGATCAGCTGGTGGGCTTGAACCATCAACCTCTGGTTAGCAGTGCAGTGCTTATCCTACAGCACCACACCAGGACTCACGCTCCTTTCATTATCCATGTGTGGGGTAGACACTTTTTTTCCAAAAATTCTTCAACTTTTCACTGTCTGTGAACAAAAGATGATGTCTCTGGGGTTCTGTTCAGAAATGTCTGAAGATGCATGAAGGAAAGAGCGTGGGCTTTATAGTTGGGCAGGGCTGGGGTGGGTTCTCAGCCGCACTCTCTGCGATCCCAGGTTTCTTATGTGTGGAATGGAGATAGTGAACGTGTGTGGATCTATAAACCCATAGAAGACATATAACCAGAATGCTTCTTAGACATGAGGCTACTTAGATATTAGCTCACTGACTTTGGATAGCAAGAAAGACTAGTGACTAGAGGACATCAAGCTTAGTAAAGTTGAGGGCCAGCAAAAATGAGGGACACCCTTCACATGATAGACCAACATGGGTTAACAGCAGACTCAGATGTCTCAGTGACCATGAAGATGGTGTAAGATTGGTCCACATTCCATTCCGCTATGCACCAAGTCACTATGTGCTGGAACCAATTCAAGGGCAACTGATAAAAACCACCATATCTCCTTACTTACCTAAAACAGGGTTGCTGAGAATTGAAGAGAAGGGAAAACTAACTGGTATATGTTTCTGTTGTTGTTGCTGTTAAGTTTTGTCGAGTTGGTTCTGACTCATAGCGACCCTGTATAGAGGGTTTCAGAGGAACGGCTGGTAAGTTTGAACTGCCAACTTTGTGACTCAAACAGACCTTGTGATCCAGTGCTTATCCTATAGCACCACACCAGGTAAAGTCAAATACGAGGGGGTCTCAAAGAGTTCGTGCACAAATTGAATTAAAAGATAATGGATAATAATAGCAGGGATATAATGGCATACCTCTCTCAGTTTTGAGCCTCTTATCATTGCAGTTATATTTGAAGGGAGGGATATTATAAAGAATCAATATGCCTTGGAATAAAAGAATCCTGAACAGAATTTCCAAGATCCGGAATAATAGGGAGAGTTTTCTATGAAGAAGGTGGAGTACATTAATGACGTAGAAGCATGGTGTGATCCGGGAATTTGTGATTCAGAAAGAATGTTCTGGATGGGGGCAGATGGTGAGGAAGCTCTCATCTTCTTTCAAGACGGAGTCTGTTAAGTGTCTGCTTAACCAGAGCTTAACGTATGGGTTCTGGATGGAAATACAGACTCTAAGCTGTCAGCATCCTGCATGGATGTTTACGGAACACGCTTATGCACCTTGTCTTTCCTACCATTGCATCTTCAGGCTCAGGAGTCCTGGTAGAACAATGGCTCAGCACTTGCTGCTAACCCAAAGCTAGGTAGTTCAAACTCATCCAGAGGTCCCACATGAGGAAGACCTAGCAATCTGTCCCAGTAAAGGTTGTACCTGCTGCTATAGAGTTGATTCTGACTAACAGCAACCAAATAGGACAGACTGGAGCTGCTTCTTATGTTTCCAAAGAGCAGATAGCCTGTTCTTTCTCCCAAGGAGCAGTTGGTGGGGGTGAACCACTGACCTTGCGTTTAGGAGCCCAATGTGTAAGCAGCAATCTTGGAAACCCTATGGAGGCAGTTGTCCTCTGTCACATGGGATTGTTGTAAGTTAGAATCTACTCGGAGGCACCTAACAACAACAACAAAACCCTTAATCTAGATCTTCATCATGGTACTGAATAGATTGGAGGGCATGGGTGGTATCATGAAACCTGTTATTGTATCATTTCCAGGTGACTTTTCATGCCTGCCACGTGCAAATTTCCCACTAACTTCTCCAGCATGTGCTAAAAACGCTCTCGGTTCTCTTTATCTTAAGCTAACGAAAACCACGATTTAACAAGGCTCTCTCCCTAAGGACACCACTCCCATTTCTCCCCAGGCTTGTGGCTCATGCAGAAATTGAAGAAGTCTGGTTCCCTTCTGCAGCTGACCTTCAGGGATCACGCTGATTTGCGCAAATGCTTCCTCTACCAGCTAAGTCAAAAGACAGGTGGGTGGTGTACCCGGCACTGGTGGCCCAGTTGTATTCAAGAATTTAGGGTGGGAACCCTACTCCTGAGACACAAATCAGCAGTTATGTCCCACTGATCTTGCTTCACTAAAAGATGCACAACATGCATAGCATCTTCATCTCCGCAAGGGGCCCCTTTAGCTATTCTTGCATTGAGCTTCTCTTGATCTTTCTCTGTAGGGGCTGAGAGCCAAGGTGAGTGTTAGGGATCATCTCACCACACAGTATTATATTATTATCTGATTACATTATACCTAAGTCTGTAAGCCAATGCCTGGATTATCCACCCACCTGAAGTTTCACCTACATAACATGGTCCATTTGGGGGATGGTCCAGTAGAGACTCTCAGACAGGCTGGGTCACCCAGGCCTGATGCTGTGTCTCCATCCTCACTCTGTCATGAGTTGGAAACATGATCAATCTCAAGAGATGTCCTTGGGACAGCAGTGATCATGACCAGTGGTATCCAGGACCAGGCAGGGGGCAGAGAGACCAGCTACTGGGCCTGCTTAGGCCTGCCAAGCCAGCTGGCCTGGCCCAAAGTTCATTGTCATACAAACGGTGGTCCTATAGACATCTATGACCCTCCCAAATGAAGGTCCTTCTCAGTCATGGCTGCTCTGTCCTGGAAAGTTCCGGAGCATTTTGTGGTCCTGTCTGTTAGGGGTAATGCAGCACATTAATGTTGTCACCCAGAGTGGTTTGATATCACTTATTTTTAGGGCTTCACTCTGGTTCTTTTGGTTCATTCATGGCCAATGATAAGACACTGGTACGGGCCAGAATTTGTAAACTGTGAGTGAACTGAAGCACTAACTGGAACAGGAAATGTTTTAAGTTGAAGCCCTGCTAGAAACGTAAACTCTTTCTTAGAAAACTAGGGCAGCATGCACACCGCATAGCAATCAAATCTCTTGACCAACTGAATCAGAAACAACAGTGCCCAGCTCAAAGATGGTGGCCAGCTGCCCTGCTTTACATGCATGTCACTTACTGTCGGTGGACAGTCCTGGCAAGAATCCACTTTTAAGCATTCACTCCTGAAAGAGCTCACAGTATCTCTTACAAGTCTCCATTTCAGGGTCTTAGTCTATAATTTTTTTCTGATCCAGTTAGTGTTTCAAATCATCCAAAATTTAAAATTTCAGGTAGGTTTTGATTTAGCTTCGTCAGCTGTATCTGAACTGATTTAAAGTGATTCAAAGCATCTGCCACTGTTCAGGGTAGCTTGCCATGCATCTTCCTGGCCTCTCTAGAAGATAGGAGCAGAGATTCCATCTTTCCTGTAAAGCATAAAAGCCCCAGTGTAGTGACCTCTCATCTCACTTGCCCTTGGGGGTCCGTGTTGCCCTCCTGACCTCCACTGTGCATGTTAAGTCTCAGATTTGAAGGTTGTGCATTGAGACAGTTTGTGCACTGACTATCCCTCCCTCCAGGGCTCTTTGGGGTATGTCTACACAGCAGGTGTTCTCTTTGTAGGGCTGCAGTATTTCAAAAATGTTGTGCTGGTTGCTTCTCCCCAAGACCGCTACGTGCCATTTCATTCAGCCAGGATCGAGATGTGCAAGACTGCCCTCAAGGACAGACACACAGGTGAGCCAGAGTGCCTTCCTAAAGACCCTAGGACTTAATCCGAGTGACTTCCTGAAAAGTGGGCAAAAATAGCAGAGGGCTGTATTTCTTTTTATTGTTGACAATATTTACAACAAAACAGGCACCAGTTCAACACATTCTACGTGTACAATCCAGTGATACAGATGACGTTCTTCAAATGTAAGACCATTCTCACTCTCGTTTTCTAACTCATTCCTTCCTCACTGAGGTAAAGTCACTGCCCCTATGGTTCCTATCCAGCCTTTCCAGTTGCCAATTGGATCACAAATGATAGTTCTTTAAAAGAGCACAATGGTCTTAACAGACATTCTTTACTAATGAAGGTAGGCATTTAGGAATGTTTTTGCTTTAAGATTTCAGGTGTAAAGATTTTCTCAGGCAATAGCTTCAGGGTTCATCCAGGCTCAGTGGCTCTAGAAAGTCTAGGTTTAGTAATCATTTTAAATGCTGTTGCACACCTTCCCAATTTTGATCTGAATTCTTCTGTAGAGTCTTTGATCAAATTGTCCAGTAGTAGTAACTAGGCACCATCTGCTTCTTATGGTCTCACAACAAAGGAAGCAGGTGCTTATGGAACCATTTAGTCATGTATATCATTTCTTCCTCAACATGGATTAAATAAATTTAATTCCAGAACTGAGAGGTAAGACTCTGCTTGTCTTTGTCTATTTATCTCTTCTCTCTCTCT